ACTGAATTGACTTGATTTTTTCACCTATAAAATGAAAGACTTGGGTTAAATGATCTGAAAGATCCCTTCTCACTCCATGATTCAATCATTATATAAATAAAATAAGTAGTTACTTTAATTTATTCAATCATCTTCTTGCACCCCCCATGAATTCCATAAAATTGATTTGTATCTATAGTCTATATTTTAACACTGCCATTTGTAATACTGCCAATCTTCACTTAAATGTAATGATGATTTAGTATATAGCAGTAAAATACTTTGCTAAATTGATTAGTCACTTTGAATTTTGTGAAGGTATGCTATGTAATTTCTCTGAACACCAAGTGGTAGATTGTGTGTGAATCATATATAAATGTAAGCACCATTATAATGCTAAAGTGAGACTCACTGGGAATTAGTTTTTTTTTTTAAAGAACTTGATTGGGGTGAACATAAAATTTTAGACTTCCTAGACTACTAATTTCATCCTAATTCATCTCTTCTGAATTTATTCCTACTTAGTTATGCATCACGGTGATAACTTAAGAAGGTAAATGCCAAGTGAAAATGTCCAACTGAGGAAATGAACTTTATAATCAACTCTGATTTTATTTTCTAATGTTTCCAGTCTGGTCTCAGCATGATCCAAGTTGAATAGCTCTCTCATCGATTATATATTACCCCAGAGCCTTGTTTCCATTGTGTCTTTTGGAGCTAATATTTCAGACATTATATTAATACCTTCAAAATATCTTGTAACTTTTCTTTTTGTATTAACAGGTTGACATAGTTTAATGAGTCGCTCAACTTTTAACATAGTAGGTCCTGATTTTAGGTAGATGACAGCGTTCAAGAAAATTAAATATAATGAAAAGAGCACAGCATGTTGAGTTACAGGATTCATGTTCAAATACCATTTCTGTACTTGCCACCTATGTTAAATGACCTTGATGGAATCATTTAAGCTCTGTGGATCCCAGTTTCCTTATCTGTAAAATGAGGGCTTTAGACTAAGTGACTTGTGTGATCTCTTAAGTATACTCTGTATACAACTTTTTACATCATAATGAAATATTGATCATCAATAATTATGCATTTGAGATTCACCAAGGGGTTGTGAATAGACACTAGATTAAATCTAAGTGATAGACTTTTAAGCAGTGATTTATTTATCAACTGCTACAGATGAGTAGCTTACAACACAGAAAGTTCTGGAGGAAGTCAGGCTTGAATCCATTGTTCTTTAATGTCAACTGACACTTTTCAGTTTTTTTCTGTATTTTCTTTGTTCTATTAATGAACATAAGCTACATCACTCATATATAAGTCTTTGTATCTCACATCTAATGATGTTCTGGATATCACCAATACCTATATGAAAATTAGAAAAAGATCCTGGGGTAGTGGATAGGGACCTGTCCTCAAAACCAAGAAATTGGGATTCAGATATCTTCTCTTACTTGTCCATACTAGCTATGTGACCCTGGACAAGTCATTTAACCCCTAAGTACTCTAGGTAATTCTTTAAGTCACTAAGTTGCAAAAAAGGTGATGACCAGCATTAGTGGAGAGTTTATTCACCCAGGAGTTCTCTATGTCAATGAAACCACGGGTCTAATCCTTATCCCTATATGAAAGTTTTTCTTTGGTATGTTGAAGCCATCCATTACGATTTATGTATACTTGCACTTTTTATGAATATCTGGCTCTACTTAATCCTATCCTGACTCTTTTATCAGCTAACGTTTAAATTGTAAGCTAATACAAACTTGAAACTTCTCTTGAAAATGTGAATTTGGAGTTAGAAGAACTGACTTCAAATCCTATTTCTGCTAGTTTATAGCTCCTACTCTATGACCTTGAGCAGCTAGGTGGCACAGTGGATAGAACACTGGGCTAGGAACCAGGAAGACTCATCTTCCTGAGTTCAAATCTGGCCTGAAACACATTATAATTGTGACCCTGGGTAAGCCACTTAACCCTGTTTGCCTCAGTTCCTCATCTGTAAAATGAATTGGAGAAAGAAATGGAAAATCGCTCCTGTATCTTTCCCAAGAAAACCCCAAATGGGGTCTCAAAGAGTTGGAAATGACTGAATAACCATGTCACTAACTATGACCTTACATAATTCACTTCTGTTTCTGTACTTTAATTTTCTTATCTGCACAATGAGGAAGTAGATTAGATTATTTCTAAAGCTTCTTCTGGCTCTAATGCCTACACATCTATTCTTTTTGCTGCTGGTTTGTATTTGTTTATGGCATTTATCCCTGTGTACATGGCCAAATGAGGTTAACTTATATGGCATGCTTTAGGAAAACAGAAGGAGACTCATTTACAGCTAGACTGCTAATTGTATAGAAAGAGAAGGGAAGTTACTGCCAACTCCAACATCTTCTTCTTGCTCCCATAAAAAAAAAATCATAAAACAGAACTGCTCATACCTAAATCACATTGCCTGAGTCATATGCATGCCAAATCTAGGGCATCTTATCAATTGATTGATATAATAACTCTCTCAATGTATTACTTCAAGGTGTTGAATCTAAGTGGAGTTAGATTCTGCATATGAGTTGCAGAAGGAAAAAGACCTAGTTTAGATCTTTACATTTTAGTCATTGGACCTTCATAAAAATATGATCACTCACTGACCCCAATTACTAAGGTCCTTCCTCTCTTACAATTTTATATTCAGCTACCTGGTATTTATTCTCTTTATATGTATTTATAGATACTTATATACATACCTGCTGTTTCTCTGCAGCTAGGTGGCATAGTGGATAAAGCTCCAACTCTGGGATCAGGAGTACCTGAGTTCAAATTTGGCTTCAGACATTTACTTAGCTGTGTGATCCTGGGCAAGTCACTTAATCTTATTTGCCTCAGTTTCCTCATCTGTAAAATGAGCTGGAGAAGGAAATGGTAAACCACTTCCGTATCTTTGCCAAGAAAATTCCAAATGGGTCATGGGGAGTTGAACACAACTGAAACAACTCAACAACATTATTTCCCCTGATATAATAGTAAGCTTCTTGAGAGTAAAGATTGTTTCATTCTTTGTATTTGTAACCCCAAGGTCTAATATAGTTACTGACACATATTAGACATTTAATTAATGTTTGTGGATTGTTAATTGATTGCCTGCCCTCCCTCAGATAGTTTTGGTGTATCTGCATGAAGGAAGAGGGCTAGCTAAAGTACTTTTCTTTGATGTTATTCTCTAATGTTGGGTTTTAGATGAAATAAAAACTCTTGAACCTGGCATCTGAGGTCATCCCCAACCTGAATTCCATCTGCTTTTCCCACTCTATTTCATATGAATCCCATTTATGGATCCTAACTCCCAAACAAATTAGACTATTAGCTGCTCCCAAACTCAAGACACTTCCACTCAAGTCTCTCTGCATCTGTACAATCCATCCCCTATTCCTAGAATGAATTCCCCTCTCATCTCGACCTCTTACAATCCTTGTCTTCAAAGCTCAATTCAAGTGTCACCTCCATTCTTAAGCTTTCCTTTTTCCTTTCCTTCATTGCTGCTCCCCTCCCTCTCTTATTAATCCTTTCTGATCTAATCAGTTTTCATTGTACTATGCTCATTTGTGTCCATGTTGTCCTCCCCACCATCCCCAGGAGTCTGTAAGCAGTTTGAAATCAGGGAATATTTTATGTTTATATTTCCAGTGATTGTCAGGGATCCTCCTTTAGTAGGTGCTTAATGAATGTTTGTTGAATTCAATTGTAGTAACATTTCCTGTCATAAAAAAAAAATTAGCTTGATCTTCAGGATTCTCTTCTTTTTTCTGATACATGTATCTCTACTTATTTCTTTAGTTTTCCCATTCTTTTACAATCCTCATCCCTTCCCACTTCTTGTTTTTGTTTTTCTCTTTTCTAAACACCCTTAAGACCTGAGTTATAAGACATTAAAAAGACTGTTTGGCTGTCTGGGAGAGGTAATGGCAATCATGAATGAGATGAATGAGTTTGATTCCAGGCCCTTCTATTTGCCTTTTATTTCTTTCCCCTTTGGCACTCCCATTTCCATTCCCAGCCCTACTAGAGAATTTGATATTTACCATTAAGCCATTCTTTTTTTTCTTATTAGGAGCACTTATATATGGAAATCCCACCATGATCAGATGTATGTAGAGGAAATAATTTTAATTTAGAAACTAAATTCATGCAAAGTAGCATATCTAGGAGTTTTCTTGAGACAATAGTTTTATTAGACCTAGGTAAGAGTAGTGAGTGGGCATTTCTCAGAATTCTAATAATGTATGGCTCAATGCTTGGATAATTTCCTGTTTCCCATATAAGGTAATTCAGATATGGGCTCATTAGTGGAACATTATGCCAACCTGAAAGAAGTTCCCTTCTTTTATACCATTATCCCAAAAGGTATGACACTGGTATGATGCTTCTATAAGCAGTGAAGGGAATTTTTTTCTAGAAAGACATTTATGGCAGAGTCATTGAAATATGGAAGCCTCTGACAAAATTCTGAATGAAAGGAAATCACTTCTATGGTTGGGAAGCAGATAGATATCATTTAGAAAATCAAGAGGGAAGTATAAATATTATCTTGGTGTTTGAAGGTAAGAATAAGATGGATGCACATTTCTTAAGGAAACAGTATTAACAATCATGCATGATTGACCACATTGTCACCTCTTAGCTCTTTTTTCTTGGGAATGGACCTTTTATAACCATCCTCCTGACATACTTTTATAGAATTGTGCTCAGGTTTTAGGAGAAGTTTGATTTATAAAATTGGAAAATGGAGATAAAGATGTAGGGAGAGATGAAAGGAAGAGTGAAATAGTATGAGAAAATCATGGCACTACTTGTCAATAACCTCTACTTACATTTTTTTTTCCTCAAGGATCATGTTTCATGCCTAGAATGTACTGAGATATTGTCCTATCACACATTTTAACTTTATCTCCTATCTGAGCTGTTCTGGGCTGAAACCTTCTGATCCCAGTTACATTGATTGCTCTCTGAATCTATTGCAGTGTGCCTGAATATTATGACTATGGTCATGGAACAAGCGAAGACGCCTATGACAGCTACGGTAAGACCTCTTCTGTCTTTACAAAAACTGTGAAATCAGAAAAACAATCAGTCACTGACAATGCAAAAATTACCTCTGTCTCTCCTTCCCTTTCATTTTTACAGAGGCCTAGACTAAATTGATTTGTGTAATTCCAGGGTGATATTTGACTTATGGAGCCAGGGCCAGAAAATTGGACAGATCAATTTTGATCAAAATTTCAAAGGCAATTAATCACAGTCATAGATCAATTTCAATAGCAACAGAGAGCATTCTGATTAGTGCCTTGTGTATTTCACCAGGCCAATTGTCAGTCTTATTGATTTGCAACTGTGATGTGTCCTTCTGCTGTCATATACATCAAAGTGAGTAATACAATTTAACCATTCAAAAGGTTTTGTAGGAGGCAGTAATTATAGTTATTGGAATATTTATTTAGAGGGCACAGTTCTAAATACCTTTACCAGAGCTATACTGCTTTCCCAAAAATTATACTGGAACAGAAGTTTTGTTAGGTACTATTATACTGGAAAAGTTTCCAGTGAAGAACCAGCACTGAATTTTATGTATGTCTGTTGAATGAGGACACCATAGCTAAGACTGGAGAAATTCATCACCAGAATGTTGGCTCCAGGTTATTTGTTTTCAGTAATAGCAAGTAATCTGCTAAGGCATGGAGAGTTTGTGATCTCTCCTTATGGATCTTATATAATGGTGACCAACCAGTGAAATAACAAACATTTAAAGGATTGATAGGGAAAGGGACTGGACCTCTGATTTTATTTGTATAGGCATCTCCCAGGTGAAGAAATATACTCTACCAATAGAGGTTGATACCTTCTATGTAACTTATATCTTAGAAAGTTGCCTAGAACACTGGCAGGTAGGTGTTAGTAAGTTCAAGTAAGACTTGAACCCAGATATTCCTCATTTTGAGGCCAGTTCTCTATCCATCTTGTATGTTTAATTATATAATTTACATATGTTTGTGTGTACTGTATATGTATGTACCTATGTATATGTGTATACATACCCACACTGTGGGTCCATACCTACAAGTTCATCTGTATAAAGAACTTACGGTGTGAAAATTTCTATGTGAAGGTAGATCAACAAATCAACTTCAATTTGCATACTATGAGATTTGCTTGAGGCACTGAGAAGTTAAGTGACTTACCTGTGGTCACATGGACAGTACAAATCAGAAGAAAAATTCAATCCCATGTCATCCAGTCTCGAGGTAGACCTTGGGATCTCCTCGATTTACTACATTATGTTTCATTTATTAAATTCAATACTTTTAATTTTAAAAGAAGAAAGTTTTAATTATAGTACATAACTAAACCTAAATAAGAAGCATAATTAAAACTAAAAGTTAAGTATTAATTTCTTGACAAATATTCATGAAAATTCCACCTTTCATCTTTTTTTTATCTTTAAAAAGAAAACAGCATTGCTTTACCAAATATTAATTCACCTATCTCCAATTTCTTCCAATCACTTGTCCCATTCAAAATCATAGACTTCATTCAAATAAGCATGACTACAGATTCTAAAGGACTGTGTATTTAAATACAAAGTACTTAAGTACAAATATTCCTTATATGTATACATTGTACAATATAAATATTTTGGGGATAAGTTGATTGCTTCTTAAGGTAGCTTTTAAGAATTTGAATGTCATGTGTATGTGTGTGTGTTCATACACATGTATATCCTATATTCCAAAACATGAGTATATAAGTTCTAATGTTTATTTTACATTTAAAAATCAATTATATTACTTTAATTACATGTACCATATATACACATGTGTACCATATGTGAAGAAGGGAAAGAAGAGCTCAAAATTTACCTAGCATTTTTAGACTTCAAATCAGCTAGGATAGGTGAACTGCCCCCATTGTTTAGGGAAGGCGAGAAAGAGAAGAAAAATGAGAATATATCTGTGTTCACCAAGCTGACTGTGTTTGTTGCCAAGATGCCAGACTGTTGATACAAACTCATTTCTAGGTATACATTACACAGGATTCCCATCCTGGGATACATATATCCCCAGGGAGTACAAGAAATTTGTCAGTGAAGTACAAGGAATTTGGTAACCTATATTATCCTATTGAAATGTTCTAGAAATTCCAAATTGATTTCTAATCCATGAAGCTACAAAAATTTTGGTGTATTTTTGGAGAAGAAAAATTAATGAATCTGTTTACTTTATATGTGCACATGCATGGTAATCTAGAATTTATTTCCATTTGTGTTGAGTAGGAGGTATGGAAAGACTTATCAAAAAACCAGGAAGTGTAGAGATTAAAAATGATTGGGAACCACTGGGCTAAGGGATGTTGTAGAAGTGTACTTCTACTTTTCCTTTCCGTGGAAAGTAGCTGATAATACATGAAAGTATAATAGGATAAACAGGGCAGTCTTAGCCACAGACGCCAGATCTGTGGACAAGTTTGGTAGGAGGAAGGACTTATCATCCACATTTAACTTTGGTATGTACTTAACTATACTTTGAGTGTTCTGAAGAAAGTTCTTTCACCTCAAAACCAATAACAGACAATATGTGATAATGTGCCAACTGTATTGTGGTATATAGACATTATGGTGAATGCACACAATCCTAGATTGTGAGTCACAGCCTGAGTTCAAATTCTAGCAAGTCATTTAATCTCACTAATAAAATGAAGATGGTGATAATAGTTTCATTCTGTGTTTCATACAGTTGTGAGGAAAGTCCTTGCAAACTTCATGTGGCTTGTCATCCATTATAGACATGTGTTATCTCAGTTCAGAGAAGGGACACCACAAATGTGGTATCATTTATAGACAACTTTTTAAAAATGACTTTGCTAATTTATAATTTCAAAATGCTCATTTGATAATGCTTGCCACATATATGTGAAGGAAACAAGAACTAATATCTCTATAATATGGCAGAGGAGATTGAATTCTTAGAATTATATGCATGGCAATTAATGGAAGAAGGGAATTGGATATCAAAGCTTCTTATGAGATGATACATCGTAATGGATAAGATCTATGCTCTTTTCTCTGTCAATTATGGTTTTGAAAATCATAAATGCTGAATTAACATTTCAGTGGGGAGACTTTTATAAAAACAGATTATTGTTTCTAAGACATTCCTCTTAGTCACCCAAACTCTAATTCTGAGAACAAGAGGTGGGGTTAGAGGTGAAAGAGAGACCTTTACTCTTACTTGTTTTCTGAGTGCCACTAGGTTATATAGAATCTGCACTAATTGTCCCCCATCGCAAGAGTATTCACCAAAAAAAAAAAAGTCCACCCTATTTTAAAAGTCTTCTCTGCAATTAGCCCTAGATTGCACACTGGACAAATCAGTAAAACAAATGCTTGTTAACTAAGTAAAGAGGGAAATGAGAAAAAGAGACTGTGTAGACAGAGTGAATAAGTGATGCAAGTCAGAATGTAAATGGCGAAGGCAGAACAGAACTTTGACTTACCTAACCATTATTTCCCCAATTCTTTTGAAAGATAGCCTAAGGAATGTCTAGAACTATGCTTTTTTTCTTTAGGGGGGAGGCTTTCTCAATATCTGATTCTACCCTTCTACCAGGCTCTGAGTGCCATTTTTCAACATTGCTGATGATGTCAAGGACTTTGTCACTATGACATAGCTCACAATTGGGCTTTTTCTGTGAGTCTTATATATCTATAAGTCTTGCTCTTCTATTAAAAAAATATATCTTTTTCCACCTAGTCTCCTTCCTCTTCTAAGGAGCATCTATTAATGTGTTAACTTTGTGAAAATGTGGAAGCTACAGATATCTTACTCATCTTTTTTTTTTTCAATATACCATGTTCTTGACATTTCGGTATGTTTTCATATATGTGATCACAATTAAACACAAACTCTTTTTCTCAAAACTGTAAAGGTGAGATTATGCTGGATAATTGTGAAGTCAGTGCCAGTCTAATGCAAGGTTTGAATTTTGGGTATTCTTCCTGACTCTGTTTCCTACAGAACACTGGGCAAATGGCATCAATTAAAAAAAAATAAGTACCTACTATGTTCTAGAGTGCTGGGGATAAAAAGACATATTATATGAAACAACGTATGTCTCTGATCTTAAGGAGCTTAGATTCTACTTGGTGAGGGATACATTACCACATGTTCCCAGATTAGTACATGAAAGTATATTCAACATATAAAAGAACTGGAGAAATCAAGAAAAGCCTTTTCAAAGAGTTGTCACTGAGGATGGAGAGTGTTTTAAGCTTGAGAGGATGTTCTTTTTAATTCAATTCTACAAGCATTTCTTAATCACCTACTATGTGCCAGGTGCTAGGGAAATGAAGACAAAAGTGGAAAAGTCTCTGTCCATCAAAAAAGTTTATATTATGTTGAAGGAATAAAGATGTACATATATATATGTATATGTATATATATATATATATATCTTATATAGTTATTCAGTCATTTTTCAGTAACATATAACTTCATGACCCCATGTGGAGTTTTGACAAAGATACTGGAGTGCTTTGCCATTTGCTTCTTCAGCTCATTTTACAGATGAGGAAATTGAAGCAAGCAGGGTTGAGTGACTTGCCCAGGGTCACAGAGCTAATAAGTATTTGAGGCTGATTTGAACTCAGGAAAATGAATCTTCCTGACTCCAGGCTTGGCACTCTGTCCAATGTGCCACCTAGCTGCCCTGTTTTCTGTTTTGTTGTTGTTCAGTAATTTCAGTTGTGTCCAACTCTTTGTGACCCCATCTGGGGATTTCTTAGCAAAGATACTAGAGTAGTTTGCCATTTCCTTCTCCAGCTCATTTTATAGATGAGGAAACTGAGGCAAACAGGGTTAAATGACTTGCCCAAAATCACACAGCTAGCAAATATCTTAGGTTAGATTTGAACTCAGGGAGATGTGTCTTCCTAACTCCAGGCAGGGCACTCTATTCCCTGTGCCACCTAGCTGCCCTAAAACCTATATACAAAATAAATAAAAATTGTTTCTTTGTTTGTTTTGTGGA